TACATATATGTGTTATTGTATATAAGGAGAGAGAAGGGAAATCGAAAAATAAGTTAAAAAAAAAAGAAGAAGAAGAAGAAGAGAAGAACAAGTCAAACTCAGGTCCGAGACAGTACTTTCCATCTCCAGGATCCCAAGAAGAACTGGCTCCTTCTTCATGATCTGAGGAACCATGTTATTGTAGGAAGCTACTAATCTACTACTCGTTATATACACAAGCACACATACACAAACACAAAACGATGTTTCCCTTGGAATCTCTCTTCCGTGTACAAAACGAATCCATCTGCCTGATATTTTCCGAGTCAAAGTCTCTTGCTTTACTCCTTCAACGATCGAAAGCACTCATAATTACCCTGTAAAACCACATAGAGACCGCCATAGTTACGAACTCAGAGAAGAAACAAGACAACCGCACATATAATTTGATGCACCAAACAGGAAATCGGAAAAGAAAAAGAGAACCAATCGGAAATGTTCGGACTTGTAGACTCAGGTCGTCCTGCTTGAGTTGGCGATTTTCTCCTCGTGAATTTCTTGAAATCACCTGCTGGAGTCCCCGCTGCATGAAAAAGAACCAACAGAAACCCATTAACTTTCACAAATCTCTCTGATAAATTTTCAACTGATCCAAGAGCGTAGCTCAAAAGAGGGAATGACATAAAGAATGTGACTTTATATAACTTACATCTCATCCTTTGTCGTTTCTTTTTCTCTCCCCTCTTTTAATGTTTTGTATGCATACGAAGAATTCGAATTGTTACGCTAGAATCTCATCCTTAATGTGAGAATTAAGTCGAAATTGGGTCATGGTCTACTATCTTTTAGAATCTCTGCACCCAATAGCAAGGGAGAGGAGAAAATAGACGGGTTGATTTGAAGTCTAGAAAGATTCCTACGGCAAAAGTTAACTTACAGGGTTGCAGAATCTGATGGTCATATCAGATTCTCATATTTTCCATGTTCAATCAAAATAAAGACTTGAATCTTATCTTAATATTCAAAATTTATCATAGCAACAACATAGAACCATACCCGTTCCATTCAAGCTTATAGCCCAACCAAGCTGCGATCAGGCATTAAAACAAACAGATAGAGAGGGAGAAGAGAATTACGTGTAGAAGGCGTGCGAGGGGTAGTGGGGCCGGAGGGCGAGTCCGGAAAAGAGGCGGGATCGGAGGAGAAACAACGGGAATCGGAGCTGGTGCGAACAATGGTGATGCTGCGAGTAATGGTAGGGGGCGGCGGCAAGATCGGAGAGGCGGAGGAGGAGGCAGGGAAGGAATCGTACTTGCGAAGTTTTCCGAGGCCGGACTCCGGAGCAGGGCCGGCCAGCGTTTCGTCCCAGAGCTTGTGAAGAAAACCCATGATTATGGAATCAGCTTTCTTTTTTGGAACAATATTGTAAAACCCAGGAACGAAACGTAGAGATGGAACCAATTTTTCTTTTTCTTTTTTTTTGTGTTTTGGGGTTGTTTGGGTTGAGAAGGAAGTGAGAAGAGTGTACTTATAGAGAGAAAAATGGAGGATGAGGAGGAAGATGGAGTGGAATTGAGGATTGAATATTGACGGCTAAATCTCTGGTTTAAGCTCCGGCTAATGTGGCTTTCTTTAGAGCCATTGAATCCATATTTCTATATTTTCTCTTTCGATTCTCAAAATCGTAATCCTAATAAATTCATTTTGCGAGTGCGTGACATGAAAAGATCAAGTCCTAATATTTAGTAGTTACTAGTAGTTATAGTTATTCTTTTTCCCAATTCATGTTTTCAGCTCAGTTGCTTGCGACTCGGCTTCCCTCCTCTTACTCTTCCCTTCTTTTACCTTTCTCATGTTTGACCTCATCGTCAATAGCTAACATCTTACGCGTTAGAAAATTATTACAATATTCAATAATAAAAATTAATAAATAACTTAAATTGTTAAAATTTAACTCAGCCCAGTTAGAAGTGTCCTAATTTTTCACTGTAGTTTAAATTGTTTATGTTAAATTTTAATGGTCCACTTTTATTTCATAATTTTTTAATTAATATAATAATTTTATAATGGACTAAATTTTAGCAATTAAATTTCAAATAATTTTTATATACAGAATAAAAATAAGATGGAAAATTTTAAAATTCAAATGTGAGTATTTAAAAGAATAAAAAATCAACAAAAGACAAGAAAACTCAAAAATGACATGCGACTTGTTAATAGTTAATAAAATATACAATCTTTTTGTGCAAATTTGCAAGGTCATTTTTTAAAATAATTTCCTATCAATTGATGTTTCTGAGAAAGAGCCAAATCTTTTTTCCCTTTAAAGAAAAGAATGGAACCTGAAATTGTCTCATCGTGCTTTTTATTTTAAGTAAAGGTCTCTCTGCGCTTTCATTCATTTTCCCACACAAAAAAAATCCTACAGATTTTTACATTCGTGTTATTCATAGCCTTAAGTTTGAGTCTCATTACGAATCCAATCAAATTATTACTGAAAATTTTTTTACATTCATGCAATCTGACTCTATTTAAATTGACCTAATATAACTTCTAAAAATCAGTCAATTTTATTCCTACAGAAAATTTTCCAACTTATGTAATTATGAGTAATTATTAAAATGAGTATAAAATAGGGGAGTGGAAGAAGGGACTTGGGTGGGGGGGGATGAGCCGAGCTGAAACGGATGACGTGGAAACCACGAGGAATGACATGGGGAGAGGGAACACGTGGGCCCTACTTCGACACATTGGATAAGCTCCCCACCCCATATTTCCAATATCCACCCACCAAAACCAGATATTGATGCTTACTTGTTCCCACCCAAAAAAAAAAAAATTACTACATCCATTTCATTTTATTTATCATAAAAAAAATGCAGTTTTATATGTTTAATAAAATTTTAAGCAAGTTAAATAGGTTAAAAATCTAAAATGAAAAAATCAATTGTGCAAAATCACTTGAAATTTGTTTAAGAACGTATGTTGAATTATATCTAATTATTTTGTAGTTGAATTGTAGCCCATCTCTAGCTGTATAGAGCACAAAACAAAATATTTGCGCAAATTAAAAATATATTATATAACTTGAATAAGAATCTGCTGAAAATGAATTACATCCGCTTCAGGCTTTTGCAAGAATGAACTTTCTTATTAAGGACTTTTGATCAATTTTTACCCTTTAAAAATTATTACATTCTTTATTTTCCAAGAATTCATCAAATTAGCAGTAGTGTTTATTCAGACAGGGCTAAAAAATTTTTTTAGAAAAATACAAGCACGCATCTATGAGATTATGAATAAAAGATCTGTGATTGACAAGTCTAAGAGAGTGTTTGAAAACTGAATTTGTAATTTGCATAAATGCGACGGTTCGACTTCATCCAGAGGATATAAAGTAGTGGCGTGGGATCAATGTGTAATTAAGGGGCCATCTAATGTTGGTGTTTGAGTTTATGGTGCACGGTTATCCACTTTGCTTGGGGTCCGAGGTTAACATCAGAGCGGGGCAAGCCTATGTTATAATCACTTCATGTTTTGCTTCGGAATGGGATCTTTTCCCGAACTTCAAACCATGTGACTCCCACACACATCATGTCTTGTTTAAACCCCCCCCACCAAAAAAAAAAAACCATGCAACCTGATAATTCAAGCAAGAATTACAATCAAGTCTTATAAAAAAAAATTACAAAACAAGTTTCAGATGTTGTTATTTTTTACCGTAGAACTTATCATTACAGGTTACTTAGATTGTTATTAGGACTTGAGAGATAATAAATAATTAAGAAAAAAATAAAAAATATATTATTGGATTTTACCTTTCTCTAAATTTAAAGTGTATAAATAAGACCGAGGCCGAGGGAGTATTTAACAAGTTGGGACTTTTTTTTAAGAGTAAAAGTGTAACCGCAACTTAAGTATTTTTTCAGGTACATTTAGTTTTAAAATATTCTAATAATTTAGGATGTTCAGTGGACATTAACCCCTCTTTCCAATGTATTGTTATGAATTAATAATAGCATGTGGATGTTAGTTGAGTGTGTAAATAATGTGAATTTCTTTTTTTTTTTCCCATTTATGTTGATATTGATATTGAATTAAATCATTCAAATGCAATACTTTTGTTGGCAAAAAAATGCAATAGTTTATTTTTAATTTTTAGTAATTTGTCTAAAATATGGAATTAGAATACTGTTTTATTTGATGTTTACAAGATAAAATATTTGTTTAACCACGCATCATTATCCGGATAGATAATATTGTTTCTACCATTGACTCCCGATTATGTGATCCAGGTTTAAGCAAGCCATCATTTTAAAAGGGCAAACATTGCTGCTCTTAAGCAATGATTTATTACGGAGAAGTTGTTTTAAGTTATCATTCTCAATTCTTCTAAGGAAAATACATATCATTCTGGTTTTTATTATAAAAACAAAATATATGATCTTTATTATAAGTCATTACGTATGTGGAGTATTCATTATTTTTTAAGATTGCTCTTATTTAAAATCTCATTAATTGTAACTTTTAGGATTTTTTAAATGTAATGTATGATATTAATTATGGGCAAATTTATAATAAGGATCAAGATGATTATGCCTAGGAGCTTTTTGTTATATAAAGTTGTGAAGGATGCAGATAAGGGTGGGGAGAGAAGTCAATTCATTAGCCTTGGATTCTGGTGCACGTTAGAATTTAGTTGAAAAGAGGGAAAAATAGGAAAAATATCAGTTTGCACCTATCAATGGTACCATCAATCAATTTTTAATTTGAAATATGTATTTTTTTATATTAAACACTTAGCATTATTAGCTTTTGCATAAAAGCTAGCAGTATTAACAAAGCAAAGTTACAGAGGTTAATGATACCAACAGAGTAAAATTAAAGTGTTCAATTAAGAAAGACAAAAAATAGTAAATTCTTGTGCCAGGGGACCAAAGCCACATTCATATTGAAAAAAAAAAACATGATCAAAATGTCCTTGGTGCTTGTTATTTGCCAAAGGGAGTTCCAATTTAAACAGTTTTGATTTGAGGGTGTTTGGATGGAAATCAAACCATAATTTTAAAAGTAATTTTACGACATGTGAAGAAAGTTTATCTCAATTTATCAAAAAGTGTTTTTAGAAAACACTTATGAGGATGTTCAAACACTCCCTCGCTGAGATACGTGCAGGACATTCCATTGCTTGAATTCCACTAGTATAATTTCATTTTTTTTAAAAAAAATCTGGTTCTAAGGAGAAAAACAAGTTTCAAAATAAATTTTTTATTAAAAAGGATAGGTACTAACAATGTAAGATTATAATTCTCTAATCCTATTTATAAGGCATTTCTAGCATATTTTATCGGATCAAGAAAAATCTTAAACTATATTAACTCTCATTAAAATATAACAATTTTTTAACTTTAGCCTTATTTAATATATATATATATATACCATTCAAAAAAATAATTATCTACACTATAAAAAGAAAGGACCAAATGGTACATTTATGTGCAAAATTTAATGAAATAAGTTATAAATAAGGTAAAAAAATCTTCTCTTTCTACCTTGTAAATAGAACTAGAAGAATAAGTAAGATCAAACTCACAACCTCTCACTTATTATGAGTTCTCATCTTACTAAGCAACAATGTCATCAGTGGAAATAAATGTTTGCTTTAAAAAAAAAGACTGAAATCTTATATTCAAAATCAAAATAAAAATCAAACGAGATTTTATATTAAAAATAGGAGATAAATTATTTTCTTTAGCCAGTTACATCAATTATTCTCGCCTTACTTGAGAGACAGCCCGGTATTTCCGATAAGCTTTTCCGCCGCATCCGGCCCAATGGCGAATTTGGGCATCGACCAAGTGCGGCATGTTTTGGGCTGGCCCACTTGTATTGTTAACAATGAGCTTTTTGAGAGGATTGCCTGATGCTTAGACCATATGAAATAAAATTAGGTCTAGTAAAAGGGTATGTTGAATCAAGATTTGAATTTTCACTTTAAAAAAATACTTATATTTAGTGTTTGACAAAACATCAAATAGAATTGCCTCTATTAAGAGGATAATGCATAGGCAAAAAAAGAAAAGAAGAGAAAAATAGAATCACTGAAAACTCATAGCAAGCAGCGCAAACGATGATAAATACAGGAGTCTTAATTACAAATTATTGTGAATAGGAGCAATGGAATTTCACATGTCACTTTAATAATTTATAGCTAAGTATCTCACATCTGTATTTGTTTGGTTATATACGAACGTGATTGTCTTTGGAGACCTAATTGTTATTCCTTCAAAGTTCAAAACAATGTGAAGTAAAATATTTTCTTTTCCTGTAAAATAGTTAAATATCATATTTATTATTTAAATTTTACGATTATTTATCATATAAATATGTATAAAACTAAACAAACATTTTAAATTCTTCCCCCTTCGCATAAACAAAGAAATTATTTTTTTCCCCCCGAAAAAGGAAAGCTT